TTCCGGCTGAGCTTCATATGGGTCTGGCAAGCTCAGATGTGTCTGTGCTGGTCACCTTTTCACTGCATGTCAGCCCTATGTGGATACACAGGTCATCATCACAGGGAGGAAGAGCCTTCTAGTCAAGTCTTACCGTGACTGTTGAAAATCCTCAGAAAAATGAAAATATTCACAGCATCTGCGCAGCGTGGCAGAGGTTACAAATGCTTGTTCAGTGTGATGTGTTCATCAGCTGTTGCTTTTTTTTTGTCGGGAGGTTTCCCACAGGAGCCAGAGATCTCATCCAGTGTAGGATGAATGACCTGCTTGCCCTCATCTCCACCTCACTTGACCATCTTGCTCCTCAACATGCGCTGCACTAGGCAGATGGCAAAATAACAGAACTGAGCTCTGTATTTTTCTGCAATCATTTTATGCATTTCTCTTCCAGATATGTGCATAGCTACAGCAATTTCTCTCCTTATGATTCTGATCTGTGGAATGGCTACGTATGGAGCATATAAGGTAATTCATTATAGTCAGTAAAGGCATGAGTCAGTGATTTTTAAAACTCTGTAGAAACTAAATTAAGAAAACTACTTCCCAAGAGTTTCTTTAGTTGTTGTTTAGTTAAAAGCAGGAAAAAAAAAAGACAAGAGACAGAACTGATCATTTATATCTGTGATATTTCATGGCCCTATGCTTTAAGCAGAAAGACTGCCCAGTTAAGTTTGTTGCCTACAGTTTATGAGCAAGCTCCCAAGCCTGGGCTTTGTACAGATATCAATCCCATTAAATAATAATAAAAAAAGATAAAAAGAAAAGGCTGATATCCAAGAAAGTAAGGGCAGTGTTATGTGGTTTCTACATGTCACAGTTAAATGAGCTGCAGGAGTTATACCAGCCATATTACAGCAGTTTAGAATCCAAGTTGGCCTGGCCAGCTCTTTTGGCTGAATGTCATGTTTCTTTTAGCTCATTTAAAGAGTTGTTTGCTGTTATGGTTTCATGAAATATAATACTGCATTCTATGAAATGTTTTTTAGATTTTTTTAGATTTCAGTGCAGAAATATCTCATTTTTAGCTTGTGGCTGATGAGTTTTTATTTTATTTCTTTTTTAGCAACATGCAGCTTGGATCATTCCTTTCTTCTGTTACCAGATCTTTGACTTTGCTCTCAACACATTGGTTGCCATCAGCGTACTTGTCTATCCCAGCACAATTCAGGACTACCTCCGCCAGCTGGTAAATCAAGTGATGTTCACAAACCCTTGGGGGCTATAGGGAAAACTGAAAAAAATGCAGTTTGTCCTTCATTTCCAGCCAATGGTTTACTGTTGACTTCCTATGCAGTCCTTGAAATTTCCCCTCAGATGGAGTTGATGGTCTACATTCAACCTCCTTTTGAGGCTGCATTAGAATCATGGAATCATAGAATGCTTGTTCAGAAATTTTTCCTTAATTGGTGCTTCAGTTTGTGGCCATTACCTCTAGTTCTGAAACTAGAAACTATTCTGAAATGGAAGCTATTACTAACTTTTACAATATTTATGCAGAGTTCTGAAGTATGACAATGCTGTGAAAGCTGGAAGCACCATTTTATTTAGAATGAGAATTATATTTCAAGACCCAGATCAATAAGTGATTGCTTTTGGATACAGTTATAGTGTTGATGTATAGAGTTGATCAATTAGTGACTTAATTTTGGTGCTGTTTCAGGGGTGTTTTGTTCCTCCTTTGAATAAATGTGGTGAGTTTAGCACATATTTAATTAGGCAGGAGTTTGATTCAAGATAGGTTTGGTTTTGCTAGAAAATATTGTCAGATTCTTTTTTAGGGACAATTACAGGCTCCCTTCTTGCCATGATCTGCTTTGGCCAAGTAACCACAGCCATGATCATGTGAGCTTACATGATACGACTGCAACTACATATAGTGAAGACAAGAATTTATTGACCTTCCTCCCATCACAGGACTTTGGCCTGTGGGTTCAGATGGAGTTACAGAGTTCTGGGAGCAGCTATTCCTGCAACTCTCTGAAAACCTGCCCTTGAGTACTTGAATTCAGATTAGTTTGGCTATAACTTTTGTTACAGGGATAGAAAACCAGGGAAGTATAAATAGCAGGTGATGAGAAACAGCAGGCAGATAAGCAGTCACTCAGGATCTGTGGGAAGTGGCAATGTGTCAAACCTCCAGGAGCTGAGTGTATCATCAGGGGCCTGTGATATCCTTCGCCTTCTTTAACACCCTCCTGCGTTCACAGTGGAAGACAGGAGAGGAATAATTCAAAAGATACCCAGAGATGCAAGTAGAAAACAGCAAATGAAGGTCATGGCTTGGTGAGTGCTTTAAGTGCAGTGGCACCAGAAGGAGCCCCCCTGCCTGTCCTTTGCTGGTGGCCCCTCACTTCTGACTCAGCGGCAGCCCCTCGCTTGGGGCAGCACAAGCATCTTTAGGCTTGCACAATGGACGGGGCTGTGGAGCTAACCCTCCTCCCTTCTCAGAGGGTTAGTTGTAACCTGATTTAACTCTGTACTGGGCACTGTGCAAGAACATGAGGGGAAAAGCAGGAGCCTGGGCACAGGAACAGACTGGGAGTTGCACACAGAAAAGTCACTGCTGCTCTGCGGAAAACACATTGTGCGGTGCCACAGCTGGACTTGCAGAAAGGAGGGAGAAGAAGAGATGATTCTCTCAAAAAAACGTTTAAAACAGCAGTGTCATTCCTGTAATTTACAACCCTTCCACAGCAGCAATAAGAGGAAGACACCTTGCAAGATATTTCAAATTGTGTAGAAGAATGCTTTTTAGCCGTGTTTGCTGCTTCAACCAGAAGGTAACTCCAACAATAACTCCAAGAAGGGTATGTTTCTCCCTCCCATCCAGTGTAGCTACTGACTGCTGTCCACTGCCTCCACAAAAGTTTTTTCTCTGCTATGCTAAGGCCCAGAGGTGGGTCCTGCCATTTGACTTGCAGAAAGGAGGATATTTCCTAATCTCCTTGTAAGAATTTACCATGCTGTTGAGAATGTTTGCTGCTTCAACCAGAAAGTAACTCCAACAATAACTCCAGGAAGGGTGTGTTTCTCCCTCCTATCCAGTGTAGCTACTGTCTGTTGTCCACATGCCTCCACAACAGTTTTTTTCTCTGGTATGCTAAGGCCCAGAGGCCATTTGACCTGCAGAAAGGAGGATATTTCCTAATCTTCTTGTAAGAATTTACCATGCTGTTGAGAGGCTTTATTTCCAGCTAGCTGTAATTAGTGAAACTTTTATTAGAAGCTACAAGAAGTAAAAGAAAATTAAGAAATTTAAACACCTCTGAGAAAAATCTATAGCTGGAAAGGACAAAAGACTATTAGTTAGTGCAAGGATATTTGAAGTGGGAAAAAAAAAAAAACTAACTAACCCAAGGAGAGGCAGAGCAGAGACAAGGAAATTATTGATTCAAGAAAAGGAAGAGTCATCACTGGCTATTTCTGTTCTGTATTTGGAAACAAGCAATATATCATGTTTATATTATATGGGGTATTGAAATACTTTCCATTCAGTGACAGCCAAGGAACATTTAAACAGTTTTTACTCTGAATATTTCGTTTTTAAATGAGCAGGTCCAGTTAATTTGCATTCTCGAGCACTGAAATGCTTGGTTGCACAGATCTCTGTCTTACTGAAGTAAATCTCTTCTGGACTGGTAATGAAATCCCACAGACTTCGTGATCTTATTGCATGGCAACTGTACCTGGGACACTGCCTCTGAAGGCAATCTGAGGAGTGGCAGAACAGGGGTCTCCAGTTCTGTTTTTTTTTTATTATTATTTTTATTTGCAAAAGCTGCTCTGGGGATTTGTGGACATAAAAAAAAGCAGGTGCAGTGAATAGTAAGAGGATACTTTCCTTCTGCATTTGTGTTATCGGTTGCATTTATTTCTGGTGTCTGGGAGTTAAGAACATGTTGAAAAGTCAGAGAATATTCAAAAAATTCCTCCCCAAACTCTGTGAAAATTAGATGCAATGTTGTATGATGAAAGAGAACTTTTCTTGCTTAGCTTACCAAGAAATGTGAGTGACAAGTGATGCCATTATAGTTATCATACTCAGAGTACCTAGGTATTAAGAGGCTCTTTAAATTAGAGGAAAAACATAATGAGAATGAATAGCTAAAAATTAATCCAGATCAAGCTCAATTAGAAACAAGAACCTGTTTTCATTTCACTGGTCACAGTGGAGATTAGCGATTGGCAAAAACTGCAAAGAGCCATGGAGAATTTTGTAAATTTTGTAGCTAATTTCAGTTGATGTACTAGAGTCTTAATTATCTTAAGTAACTTTCTTTGACACTGTTTACCCCTCCTCTGTTCTAGGGAGGACATGAGGAATCTGTTTGGTCACTTCTTCATGAGGTCCACATCAGTCAATGAAGGGGCCTTACGTTTGATTCAGTACAAATGCACTCTCTTTGAGAGGGCAAGAGCGAGAGGGACAGGGGAAGATCCCATCTGTCAGCATTAAATATACAGATACAGGATAAGATGAAACAAAAAACAAGCCTTTCTAGTTCATAGCAATGCCAGCAATGCACTGCTAGAACCCAAATATTGCTGAACAAGCTTGTACCAGAGAATTGTTTCTCTCTTTTAATAATGTTTGTGCTAGATTTGTTTGTAGTCTTAAGACCTATCCTTAGAGCAAAACTGTAATTAATACCCTTGTTCCCAGAGGAGAGACCATAGTCATGCGAGCTGGGAGTGATCCCTCCCAATGATTTATAAGTAAATCCCACATTCCCTTTGCAGAGGCCTGCCAAGGTAGGCAGAAAGGACAGGACCGGGTTGGGTTGTTCCTGGCATTCCTACGGTGCTCCTTCATCTAAAATTGCTGAGAATTTGGGGAGTGATATTTTAGGGGGGGCACCCTAAGCTCCATCAAGGAAATGAAAAATCCCAATCATTTTGCAAATTCGTTATAGAATAGCTGGAAGAATGTATGCATTTGGTAATGGAATGTTTTTGGCCATCAATGAGGAACATTAGAAAAACTTCAGTTCTTATTTTCTTACAATGTCAATCGCCACTCTAAGGTCAAACCCCTATTTTAACCTTTTCTCCCATCCATGCGAGTATCAGGAATTATTTTATCTGTCCTCTTCGGTGCCCAGATTTATGTCCGTGGGTGGTGAGTTGGAAGCCTCTGCAGAAAGCTCCATGTACGCTCAGCAGGGTGATAAATAAAGTGCCCATCAATAGTGTAAGCTGAGCCCTAGCTAAAAATGGTGCAATTCTGAAATACGGAACATGATGTCCGCAGGCTGTTTTGTAATGTCAGCCTATGCTGACTTGCTACTTTCAGAGCTGTAAATGTCTTTGGAAACTTTTCGTTGCCCTCTAATACCTAGTTGCGCACAGGTGTGTCACAACCTCATAAATTTCAAGAACATCCCAACATGAAGAGTCATGTAAAGTAGCTGTTACAAGTCCAGCATTTGCAATGTTGTATGTTAGTGATGTGTCGTAAAACTTTGTAAAGTTAGGACTGTCACCATAAGGCAATAAACTCCTTCATACAGTAAATACTTCATGTTTAAAACAAAAGTTGCTTTGCTTCTGGAGCAGTAGGAGTCTAAAGTAGTTTAACCTAAATCACAATTCTTTATCCTCACTAAATCTTCCATATATGTGCTTTCTAAAACCTTAAAATAAACACTTAATCTTCTATCATCTGATACAGCATACATAAGGAATTAAACCAGAGGTGCAGAACAGGGTAGTCTGCAACTGACTTATGCAAACTTGTTTTTTATTAAAGTACTGGACTACTCAGTTGATTTAAAGAAAACTTCAAAATAGATTAGATAGCTTTACTGTGCAACTAAATGGAGTACTGCTGTCCAACAGTTAAGGTTGTATCAATTTTGCTTTTAAATTCTAGGGGAAATGTCTATAGAATATAAAATAGACTACACTTAAATATATTATTCCTATGAACTATATCTTAAGTAGGGAATACCCTCTCAGAAATTTTTAAGTGACATTTTATAATTCCAAAGATGGAATATGATTAAATTCATAGCATGGCTTAAAAAATTCTAAAGACACTGTTTTCTTTAAGTTCTATAAGATTTTAATGTTCAAAGTATTGTAACTGGTGAATGAGAATCCTTACTGTATTTTAAAGCACATATTTGTGTTCTAAGCAGAAGGAAAATATAAAAGGTTGTGCAAACAGATTGAGAGAATAGGATGGGGCTGGAGGCTTGGCGTATTTTTGTTGTGGATTTGTAC